CTTCCCTATAGACTGGATGTGTTCCTTTGCTTTCATTCTTAGCGAGGCGATACTTGTGTTTCGTGGGTCTGCCTCTTCTAGTGAAAATTTATCCATAAAGCCTGAGCACTGATACGTTGGTGGAGGGGGGCACACCGCCCCTATATGGGGCAGAGGGTGGTTGAGTGTAGTTGAACTGAGAAACTGTGGAGGGGTGTAGCTGGCTGGTACTCCCTGCTGAGGGGTGATGAAGCTGGGCAGGGACTGCAGGGGAGAGCTGGAGGAGGTGATCGGTCCAGTAAGCCAGGGCTCTAACGGCAGACCGCTACCCAGAGACAGCGGCCCCGATCTTGGGATGGACAGCATGGAGGACTCCTGCAGCTTGATGGAGCTCACCTCCAGTTTCTCCTGACGTCGCCACTTTGCACGGCGGTTTTGGAACCACACCTGAAATTTGACATAAGAAGGATTTGGTTTAGAATGCAAGAATAACACGTTTAAAAGTTCAACTGTGACAGAAGATATAGAAAAGTACAGATCTAATGTTGATGTTTTGCAAAAAAACGTTCAAATACATTTGCCAGAATAAATAAATAATTCAAATTGTATTAGTTTGCAAAACCTTTCAAATACACTTGCAAAAAAGTTGATATATGTTTATGATTAAATAGTATTCTATTTATATTATTTATTTTACATATTATACATAATGTTATATTACAATATTATAAATTATTTTTGCCAGTTATTTATGTCCCAGATCTTAATTTGCTACACATAAGGTTCAGATATTTGAAAACAAATTAGCCACATTTTATTAGCTGTCACTAAAATTACTTTAGAATATTTTAAATCAGAATATTGTATCCTAATAATATTCTGATTTAAAATATTCTAAAGTAATTTAAATCAGAATATTATTAGGATATAATATCCTAATAAAAGCCAAATTTTCTTTGGTACTACACAAGAAAAACAGTCTGATGTGAAATCTCTTACCATCGATATTTGTCAAGTTTTACTTTTAATGAATGTAATACAAGATTATTTATTTTTCAAATTTACTTTAAATATTTCTACAGTTTTTTTTATATAATTTTTTTTAAAGAAAAAAATACCCAGTTGCTTCAATACATTGCATTTTGTTTTAGTTTATTCTATTTTATTATTATTTATAAAAACGAAAATATTATTTTTTTTGCCTTGAAATTGTGCTTGAAATATTTTTGAGCAACATTGCAAACGGAAGGGATGACTATGTAAAATGAAAGGTTTTGAACAGTGATCTATTAAATGAAGTGATCCTATTGCTAGCATGTGTCATTCTTATTCTCAAATACACGGATCATGAAAGTCCATCATGTGTGTGGTCTATCCTGTGCTCACCTGCACTCGAACTTCTGGCAGGCTGACCTTGAGCGCGAGCTCCTCTCTGCTGTACACGTCAGGATAATGCGACTTCTCAAACGCTCTCTCGAGCTCGTGCAGCTGAAAGGTTGTGAACGTGGTCCGGTTCCGCCGGTGCTTTTTCTTAGGATTTTCATCATCCGATAATTTACCACCATCCGCATCCGGCAGATCCGGACTGACCATGACGGAGGATCTACAGACACCTGTATAAAAAGAAGAAGGTTGAGAAAGTGTGACGTGTTCATATTTAAATTAAAATTCACGTATTAAAATTATTTTTCTTTTTTTTTTTAAACTTCACGTAAACCACTAAAAAGTTTTTAAACTTTTAACATCCTCATATTTATTTAATTAGCCTATATTTTAGACTTTTTCAAATAAAATGTATATAATTTAACACTTTTTTCTGTCTTTTCCTTTCTTTAAAAAAAAACTTTTTTTCCATTTACAATAAAAAACCTAAAAACTCTTAAAACTTTTCAATAGCCTAAACTTTTCAGATTTCATATAGCCTAATATATCAATATTTAAATGTCTATTATGTACTTGTAGAAATTTATTCATGACTTAAAAAATTTAATTTAGTATAAAGTGCTGCCGAAACGTCTAGTTTTAAAACCAGACAAATGTCACTCTGCGAAGCTGTTAACTCACCTTCAAAGTTTTTGGAGTTATTGGAGTCCTTTTTGGGGGGAGACAAAAGCTCAGCGTCTTTGACCGGCTTCCCAGATCCATAAGAAAAAGCCGTGTGGAAGATATTCTCTCCTTTAAATCCCAAAATGGATTCAATGCTGTGGATCCTCGTTTGGGATCCAGGACTGCGAACCAAGCGCGCGGATGGGGAGAGACGCTCTTCCATATCTTGGGACTGGGATCCAACAAGCCTCATCGAACGTTTTGTTTCAGGAAAAAAAAGAAAGTACTAAGGATTTCCCCTGTTTTCTAGCCTATTTCCTATGCAATACACTCTATTTCCAATAATCTAGGCTGTCCCAGCAGAAGCAACTTTCTCCAGTAGTGGTCCTGCACACACTGAGGATGCAGTGGCCCCCAGGGGCCTTATATGGATCCCCCTCGACCGGGACTCTATTGTGTGAGTGACATCCCCTTCGACACGTCAAGAAACGTCAGATTGGCCGGAGTGAGGGATGTAGTATTGTCCCTGAGCATTTAACTCCTTGTGGGCATAATGGCAGCTTTATAAACCGCCTTACATAAATCTTAAATCATCTTTTCCCACTCCAGATGTCTTGATCATGATGGCCTGTAGAAATAAGAGGAACTGGGGCTGGGATTACATTTTTGGGGCCGAAACAGATCAAGATCTCTGCACGCGCAAAATGCCATTAAAAATGTCAGCTTGTAAAATGTTCTGTGGTACACTCGCGCCGAAATAGTTACTTGTATTGTACACTATTGTCTTAAAAATAAATGAAAAATATAGAAATAAAAATACAACAAATGACAGAAAGCTTTAAAAAAGCTTTTTCTGACACTATTTGAAGGAGATTCCATGTTAGTTTATCATGGTGAAATAACGAAATTGGTCACATCACTCTCTTCTGAGGTGACAGTAAAAGCTGAATGTCTCCGTTTGGAAATATAGCCTAAAGAATTTGCGAACAAACAAACAAGCAAACAAACACACACACACACACACACATATATATATATATATAATGACATATAGCTATTTGCCACGTAACGTTTGTGAGAGTGACCGACACACGTTAGGCCTATTTCTATAATTAACAAAATGTTTAAAATGAAATAGTAGGCCTACTCTTTATACTTGAAATCATTTTACACACATTAGGTTGTAGATTTTTCAACTAATTTGTTGCAGCTAAATATGGAAATATTACATCAACGTTTGAAACACACAGCGGAAAGATAAAATAAAATAAATAAACCCCGAGTTACAGACATTTAAACAAAATGTGTTAGCCTAACACTCCGCGATTTACAATGATTACCATTTTAAATGTTGTAGCCTAACAAAAAATTATAGTCTTGCTAGCCGATATAAAAGTAAATAAAATATAAAATAAAGTAAAAACAAAGCTTTATATAATTTCTAATGAGAATATACAATGTTATTCATAGTCTGTTTGTGAACGACAAAACAGAATAGGCTATGTTTAGGCTTCTTAGACTATAAAACTGGTAAATTGGTATCGGTAGAATGAAATGATCCGGAGTTTTGGTGGTGAAACATTAAAGCAGCCTAACTAACTAATTACAACTCTAAAACACCACCAAGAACTGCTTTAGGCCTACACTTTGAGCGTGGAGTGCTTTCGGTCATTAGGGGATTTTGTTACATGAACAAAACGCCATCTCAAGCAGCAAGCGCGCGACCCCTGAGAGCTAGCCTACAATTGAGGTGCAGTTAATTTGAAGAATTTGCAAACTTCCTCAATATTGAATGGATACGAGTAATTAAAGATTGACAGCAGTCTGCTAATCCGCAGGACACACGCTGGTTTGAGGGGATTACACACTTTCCCCCCTCTGTCCAAAACAGCACAAATCCTTTCAACTGCTTGGCTTTTCCCTAATTACAACAGATAATGTTGGTATTTCCAGATTTATTCAAAGATACACACATTCGCGCGCGCGCGCGCGCACACACACACACACACACACACACACACACACACACACACACACACACACAC